TCAAGGAGATAGTTAGATATGGACTTAAGCTCAAAAAGAGGTTTTAGCTGGATTTAATAATTTCCAAGTTATATATTTGGAAGTTATAGTCATATAGATATTATTAAGGTCATATGAATTATTAATGAGATTACTTAGTAAGAATTTCAGCTATAATGATAAATTGCATTGATTGAGTGCCTGGCTCACATGTACCAGGCACTTTTCTAAATATCTTATGTGTATCAGCAATTTAATTTTCTTGGCAGTGCTTTGAGGAAGGTACAATTATTACCCCTATTTTTACAGATGAGGAAACTGAAGTACCCAAGAAGCTGAGTAACTTGCCCAGAGTCACACAGCTAGTAACTGGAGGAACTAGGTTTCCAAACCAGGCAGTGTGGCTCCGAATGGTAGAGTGAGAAGCACAGGAATGAGCTCCGAGAATTGGCAACTATAGAAAAAGAGGAGCTGGAGAAAGACCCTGACCAAAAAGTTCCAGAGCATAAGAGGTAATCAGGGGAGTGGGATAGAGACACCAGGAGATTACAAAACAGAAATCAGTCAGCTGTGTCACACACCACTAAGTTAAATCAGGACTGAAAGTGGCCTTTGGATTCAACATCAGGGAGGCCATTGGTGACTGGGGCCAGGGCTCTTCCTGGGGAGTGATTTGGATGGAAGAGAGATTCAGAAGGAAGTCAGATTGCAGTGAACAGAGCAGTAAATCAAAAGTGAGAAAATACAGTCAGCAGGTTTGGGTAAATTTCAAGGAACCAGAGGACAGGGACTAGAAAGGTGGACCGTAGCTGAAGGGGGACTAACAAAAAATGTTTTAATACGGGACGTAATAAATCATGTTTGAATGCTGCCCAGAGGGATCAGCAGAACAGGAACATATAAGGCAGAGCTCTCAAGACCCTTGGATGGGCAGGCTGGATGGTATCCAGAGCATGTCCAATGGAGACACCGGCCTTTGACGGGGAGAGGAAAGGAGTCAAGATGGCCGTGGCTGGAGATTTGATGGCACAAAAGTCGAGCAGCTCCCATTTTTCAGTGAAGCATGTGCTCAAGGTCATCATCTGAAAATGAGCTGATAAAGTAAATGTCATGTGTAGTAGGCATACCTAGGGAAATCTGACTTTTCCTTTCTGTGCTCTTAAGGGCCTATATGAAGTACACAGATTACTTTTTTTATCTCAGTGTCCGCTAGATGCTGATATTTTCATCCTTTCAACTCACAGTTTTTAAAAGATACTTAGACCAGTCAGAAGCCTGCAAGCTCCTTGAGTGGAATCGAGTCTTATTTTTCCCAGTATCCTAAGCTCCGAGGACTAGGCCTGACACCTAGTAGGCCTTCAAAAATATTTGATGTATAAATGAAAGAGGGGCTATCTATTTAGGAATGAGGTATTCTATCTAGATACGAAATCACTAGTTATAGGTACTAAAATACATGAAAAGTATTTATAAAGATTCTGAAGTTTTGCAAATAAGAATGCTTAGAAACATTTTTGAAAGCCATAGGATGATAGGAAAGTGTAGCATTATTTCTGTTTGTCTGTTATACTTTAACCACTGCTTCTTATCAGGAACTGTAATAATGGTGTTAAACAGATGTGGCTTCTATTTATTTGGCACTTTTATTTTGAAGGAAGACCGAATATCTTCAGAAAGCACTCAGTTATCTGTAATATCCAAACTCATATTTTTTTAGGGACTCATTTCCTGCGTGGATTGTTTGGGCTATTTGCTTCCTTCTTTTAACTGCTAACCACTATTTGCTTCTTTCTTTTGCCTAAACTTCTATAGAGGAAATGCAGGAGCTGGAACTGAGAAAATTCAATAAATCTCTTTATCTGTTAGGAATTTTGATAGAAAAGTCACAAGAAAGAGGTCAAAATAATGACTAACATGAAGGTAGGAGAAATCTGTGGTAATTACCTATAGCCTTTCTGTTACCTACAGCCATGAACTTTTAAGGACTGAAGAGATAGTCAACAAATTATACATTGACTTAAGTAGAAAGAAGTTTGAAATTTCATCTTTTTCACTCCTGCCTTCCTCTTTGAAACACACACACACACACACACACACACACACACACACTCATCAGTGGTATAAACATTAATGATGCTATTCAGATAACAGTGCTAATGATTCTTACCGTTTGCTATGTAACCTGGTATGTACATAGCATGACTCCCTGGAATAGAGTGGGCTAGGGCGCTTATGCTGGGAGAATGATTGACATGCACTTTCAAGCTATATCTACCATTTACAGCAAAGGAGAAAAAATACCTCGAGTAAATTCCATCATTTTTTATAACATCGACACCTGTAGATATATAAAAAAAGTCAACACTTGTCATCACCGTTGATTACTAATAATTAATTAAATTATTAAAAAGTAAGATTCGCTCCCCTTATTTTCCTATTTTAGCATATGCTGTCATGGCCATCCCTATTTTTGATGTTATCAGGTGATTAAAAATCCAATGGCTCCATAATTTCTCCCTATGGCTCCTTAACCTATGAAAAGTTATTTTGTGAAGGTGAATGAGTTGTGCCTGCTTCAGCGCTAAGAAAGCATTTAATAATCATTTAATAAGCGTTTAGGGATCTCCTTCCTATCATTGAAAATAATTCTAGTTTTTCACAGGAACCAAGAACATTCTTAAGCTTGTTTATAGTCACAGGTCCTTTTGAGATAAAAGCTATTCTGCCCCTAGGAAATAAATATATGTGCATATATACATATTTTCACAGAATTTCAAGGGGTTATGAGTAGCCAGAAGCCCTGATTAAAAACAAAAAACCTCCTGATTGAAAAAAAAATCAAAAAACAAAACCTTTGGTAGTTGATAAAATAGTGTGAAATCATTTATTGGGTTGTCAGAAATGTAATGACGCATTTTTGCAACGAAAAACATAGAAAAAAATGCGTCATGACTTTTCTGACAACCCAATAGTTTCTTCGAAGGGTACATGGAGCCATTATTCTAGATCAGAAGGGGCTCATTGACTTGGAGGTGGACAGCCTTTGGTTCCATCCACTGTGCCTTGCTTCAGGAGGTATTGTTAAAGTTTGGCCACCGCTAGACTCCTTTCCTTTCATATTGAACCTCAGAGAGCAGTTCAGTTCCTAATCAAGTCCATGACTGAATGGCAGGAAGGCCTAGATGCCAAGGCAGCAGGGAGGTGCAGCTTAGCCCAAGTGCAGATCACATTCACTGTTGACATGCAGGTGGCCCCACGGGGCAAGGAGCTTGTCCTGTTCTAGAGTCAATTCCATTCTCATACCACATGCCCAGCCCTGTTCTCTAGCATCGTGTCATCACTAAAGTAAGTGCTCTCGAGTCCCCACTGCAGAGGCAGGGCTGTTCCTTAACATGAGAAAAGTAGGAATAGGTTGAATTAAAATAAAATTTCATAAGTAACTTATGAAATTGTTTTGATGTACTGGAAAGAAATCAAATCTTGGTGTTTTAGTGGCTGAATGATTAATATGGTCTATCTCTGCTGAGATATGATAAAGAAAAATCTCCTTATGCCACAGTTACCACTGCCACCTCATTTAAATACTGAATCAGAAAGATACAGGAAGGAACACTGGCTTGAGTGTCAGGGGACTTGGTTTTAAGGTCTGGGTCTGCCATTTAGTAGCTATAAAACAATCTTCTCTGAGCCTCAGTTTTCTCATCAATAAAATGGGGATAATATTTCACAGGGTTGTTATTATGATTTGTTGCAAGTGTGTATGAGAAAGTAAATTTTAAATTACTAAGCATTTTACATGTATAAATTTTATTATTGTTAATTAGTTTTACTCAGCAGGTAAATACTGCTTCCAATATAAAGATATATGTTAGACCATACATGTGCGCTAAGAATTGGGGGAAAAACTAAATTTACACTTTGATGCCGAAACAACCTTTTTCATTGTTTCTTTCATTAGGGTATAAATTTAGACATCAAATAAATAAAATGGTTCCAGTGAATAAATATAAAAGCCTGTTGAGCCTATTCAAGTGATTTTTCCTAAGATAAGCTGTATCTGCTCTCCTGTAGGCCAGCCCACAGGCTGGGGCAAAGCAGGAACATTCTAAAGTGCATTTCTGGACTATATACAAAAAAAATGAAAGGTGGGGCTGTGGATAAGCAATCAGAATATGAGCAGTTCTTTGGATCTATCCCAATAGACAAAACAAGAGGACTTCTCTGGTATCCCGCTGAGGTTGACTGGAACTAAAATCCTTTAAACAAACCTTTGTTTCATAAATGCCATACGAGATTGACTTGGCGAGATAGATATTAAGGGATTGCCAAACCAAAGACTCTTGAAAAAATGTTTCTTTGAAACAACAGAGGGAAGGAATATGATTTTATTAGTAGATCAAACACATGGGGCTAACACAGACTTTGAGGTCCATTGTCATTCTGAGAACTTAGTTTAGAAAAAAAAAACAGCAGGAAAGATAAAACAACTGAGGAATTTGTTTTTAAAAGTCAAACAGGCTAGTCAGAAAGAGCCCAGGTGCTGCTCTTTGCCAAACTTGATTCTGTGCTATCTGTGACGTATGATGAGGAAGCTCTGAACGCTCTAGGTGCAAAATGAGTACTTTGAAATAGGGTTTGGTTTTGTTCTGCTTTATTTTCCCAGGGGTGGGAAAAATCTCTATCCCAATTCCAATAGGCTTGATGACCTAATCTTGTGGCCAAATCACATGTGTAAAAGGCACTGGCTATGCCCTCTTATCAACCCAGCTACTTGGCTAAAAATAGTCTAGGGTCAACTCAGAAGTCACAAGTTCAATTTCCAATTTTCTCTTCACAATCTGGTTCAAGGAGAAAAAATGGATTTACTGTCATTGCAGCCCCCTTTTTGGGTTTTCATTTGCTATTTTAATTGTTCCATCTAATTACGTTAATGAATAGTAACATATTCACAAGGACATAGAACCTGTTCCTGTGTGACCTCACTGAGTGTGGCCAGTGTCACTGGACAAGTGTCACTGGCTTGAAGCCAAGACCTAGGTGTCAAACAACTTCCTTTCACCATTTTGCTTCTACACAGCCACGCTGAGGACACGCTTTTCCCAAGTTCATATTTTCTTACCTTGTGCAGAGGCAACCTGTAACTGCCTAGTATATCAGTGATTCTATGAGAATTGGAGAATCTCATAAAATTGGATGAGAAAAATAATTGCTTTGAAAGAATTTAAAAGACAAGCTTAATGTTGATACTGCAGCATCACAACAGCTCTTGAGAACATGAAAAATAACATCACATTCTTTGTTACCTGCTCCGTCATCAAAAAGTTTCAGTGTAACAGGATCTCCAGTCTCTGGCTCAATCATAGCAGTGACAGTGGCATTGAGAATGGGATAGAAGCCCTTTCTCACATTCGCATAGATCATCATGGGATGGGGAAAACGGGTGCTGTCTTCTTCCACAAAGACTTCCACAGTAGCAGGAGGTATGTCTGAGCAGGAGGCACGCGAGATCGCTGTCACTTTCAGGGCTTGCAGAGAATGGTGGGTATTGTTCAGTGTGTAAGTCCAGGGCCCAGGCTGCAAAACAGAGGCTTTTTGTTTTGTCAAGTGTGAAGAAAACGATCAACACTTAATTTTAAAGCATATATCTAATCTCTTAGGGTGTTTTGTTCTTGTTTTGTTGATATTGCATTTTCTAAAATACTACAAAAAAATGTCAGGAATAGCAATAATTGGTTAAGTGATAACTAAATTCATAGCACAGCCCACTTGTATTGTTAGATGCCTCTTCAGGGAATTATTCCCTGAGTCTATCTGTGGGAAAGGACATGTCTTGAGTCTCATTTTAGAAGGTAATGATAACAGTGTTTCAGAGTTTCAAAGTGCTTTGCAAATATTAATCTGAATCCCTTCACCAAAAAGGAGGTACAACATTTTTGTTCCTTTTATATAATGAAGAAATTTATAGCAAATTCAGTGGACAATTACGATATATGTAATTACGATATAAGCTGGAGTAAAAGGCAACAGCATTTTTTCTCCCCTCCACCCACCTCGACCAATACCCATAAATATCAAGCAACAAAACCCACATGCACTAGTAGGTCAGGATTCTACCATGTCTATGTTGGGTAATTTATAGAGATATTGCTAAATACCATTTGCTTTGGCCAGTCTAGGCCGCCTGGGGGAAATTTGCAAAAGAATATCTGAAAGAAAAAATGCTTAAACGACAATGTAGCAGAAATTTGTTGTTTTGATTAAACTGTACATAAATACTCCTTTTTCCCTTATTCCTGCTGCTGTTCCTTCTAAAATCCTGGAAGTAACAGGAGAAACACAATTGATACAAGGAAGAACGGAGAAAGCAAAGGGTTAAGGTGGGACTCAGTGTGGAAAGTTAAGATGCCACCACAATGCACCCAGCCTTCTGCGTTGGGATTCATCATAGGCTTCACTGTTTTCCAGTGAAATCGCAGTTCAAGCATCAAGATTAATTAATATTAATTAATTTTAATCATCTCCTTAGTAACAGATACATGGCAGGGACCCACATCAAAAACTTCTCTTTGGGTATATAAGAAGTGTTGTGATACAGGGCACCTAATTCAGACTAGGAGGTTGGGCAAAGGCAGCAGGATGTAGATAAAGTGTTCCTGGCCCTTGTGTACATGTGTGAAAAGAACACCATGAGTTTGGAGAAAAGTTAAGTAGGAGCAGAGCCTGGGATATTTGGGAGAAGGGTTAAGAGACATGGTTGGGCAGGAGCCAGAACATGAAGAGCTTGGTATGTAAGAGTAACCACAAGGATTTTATCCTGAGACCAGCAAAGAATTCTGAATGGGAGACAGGCTTGTTCCAATGTGTGCTTCAGAAGGATCACCTGATAGAGGTGACGCGGGGATGGCAGGATGCTGGCCCAGAGCCAGGGAGGCTGAGCAGAGGATGTCAGCAGTGACCTGGGGAGGGCGGGGCACCAGTGCTGAAGAGGGACTGCGTGCGTTCGGGCAGTGCAAGAGCCCATCTGATCAATTCACTGCCTGCTCAGAACCGTCAGTGGTTCCCTTACTTTAGTGCTCAGACTCCTCCTCCCTCTACTGCCGATCAGAGCCTTTGCTGACATGGCTCCCGTTTATCTGTCTAGCCTCATCACCCCTCCACTGTCCTTCCCCGAAATCTCCAATCCACTTTACATGCTGCTTGCTAGTTCATCTATATTGAACTACTTGTACTTCAATGAAGAGCCATGTTCTTTTTCTCTGAGCCTTTCTTTCTATTGCTGTCCGCTCTGCCCAGAATGTCATTTACACCTATGCCCCCTTTGTCCTCCATATTTCCATTTTTATGTTTTCACTTCCAGGAAGCATCCTCCTTCCCACCTCCCGACTCCCCTATCTGCGAATCCTTCCTATACGCCCTGAGTACCCTGTTCTTATCACGGCATTTTATTACAAAGCACCTAGAACACGACCCAGCACATAGTAAAGGGCTCAACAACACATGTGTTGCATGTATTCATATTATACATTCCAAGTAGAGAATTTTTTTTCTGAACGTTTAGATAAGTACGTCTATATGGATTTTGTAAAGAAGGAAGTAAGCAAAAAGAAATTATTTTTACTACATAAATACTAATTTCCAAGTGAGAAGCCTTTGGTGTCCATTATTTAAAGTTTTGAACATACCTTAGTTATTCCCTTTAAATTTTTAACATTCACAAAATGCCCTCATAAATTTAAAGTAAATTGATATATCAGAATAGGATTTCCTTGACACAATGCATTTAATTATGTGACTCAACTGAACGTGATTTGTTTGACTAAATGTTGTCATTATGAACAAACTTAACGACACTTACCACAGCAGTTCCTGGAATCCAGAGGTGAGCAGTCCGCAAAGCTTGATTGATGATAAAATTATTTGTATTGTATTTTCTTCCATTAGGATCAAATACTACAATCTCAGGGGGACCACTGGTCTGCCATGTGACTAGAAAGGCAGTGTCGTTGCCCACACTGTTATCCACAGCCACAGTGTTTCTCATTTCGTGGTGAGGTTTAACATTCTCACCCATGCTTTCAAGCTGTGCAAGAGAGTATATATGTGTGAAATTTCCTAGAGGTTATATAATCATTCCATCTGTTTCTTTACATTTGTGATAAATAAAAATGAATTGGCAAAAATAAAAATCATTTAATTCTTATATGTACTCTACTTACGTAAGTCATTTTTCATATAAAAATACATTGCCAAAGCACAATATAGTCTAGAAGTACAGTAGCTATAAAATATTTTATTATACCTAATACAAGTGTTCCTTTAACAGCATTTAATCATTGTGTATTTACACTGGATCCAAGTCTGTAAGTAACTTTCAAAAGTTATATTGATTAAATAAATACATTAGTAACACTTTGTAAAATTGCTCAGACCTGGAAAACATATAAAATTTTATTGGTGGATGACAGCAAAGACATTGTGGATTATTTGCTAAAATCAATTTAACAAGTGTTTGTGGACTGCTGATTACTATACCACATTCTGTGCTGAGCTCTGAGCGGTTGAAGGGGATTAGATGTAATTTATGTCTACAGTATAGTGGGGCTAAAGGCCCCCAAACAAGTTTGGGAGCATAAGGCTAATTTGAGCCATATGAATAATATTTTGTGAATTTTTTTCTTTCACTTTTGAAACATTCGCTTTTCTTTTATATTATTAAAGAGGAGATCACAGGGTAGAAGGATTATTCAGAAAAGCCCATTGTAGTCTAATCTGTAATATATATTGTCATTTATAATTCACCTTTTTTCACATCTAATGGTGGAATTGTGGTTGTTGACTTTACTGTGTACATATAATCTATGTGTTAAATATTTCCTAAGACTAATCCTGCCATTAACTTGGCAGGATCACTTACCATCTGTGAGGGAACAGCAGATGAAATTTGTTTATGTCCAAAATATCCTTAAAGTACTCAGAAAGAAATAAAAATTTGTCCCCTTTAAAAAATGGCTTCATTAGAGGAAGCTTTTGTAAGCAAAATTAAGTAAACTGTGGTAGAGATATTTAGGAATTTTTAGAATTAGTATGAAATAGTTGATACTTTTTATATGAGAAAGGAACTTCAGAGAAGTGTTTGGAGAAGCAAAAGTAAAATGGAT